CCCTGTGGGTGGGGGGCAGCTTGGGGGCTGCTTAGGCTGGGGAAGGGTCCGGCCTCTCGGAAGATGCCCGCTGAGAGAGGGAGTCGGAGCTGGGTCGTTGGCTCTCGTGCAGCAGACAGGAAGGCGGGGAGGGCAAGATTAGAGGGCGCATGCCGAGGGGGTGTAGGAGGCTACAACTAGAGGAGAGGGCTGATAGTTTTGGGGGGAGGGGGCGCTGGGGAGATGAAAGAACGTGTGGCTGCTTCCAGACAGAAGGAGCGGGAGTAAAAGGGGAACCTGGTGGTATGAGTCCCTCCACAGGAAGAGGGATGGTGATTGGCAGCTGGATCCAGAGCATCCCATTCCAGGGTCTACAGTCTCCACTATTCAAGAAAAACGTGCTGGTTCCATTCTAATCAGGATAGCTCTTTGATCCCCTGGCAGCTGCCCTGGGATGAGCAAAGTTTGGGCACCTTGGGATATCAGAGAGGCCACCATTCCAAAGCAGCCTAGAAACATTAAAACCTATCACCTTTTTTTCCTTCTTCTCTGGTTGGTGTCTCCTTCATTCAGCACTTCAGGAGGATTTGGATAAGAAACTATTTGGTCAGCACCTTGTGAAGAAGGTGATTGTGAAAGCTGTGATTGGTTTCTTGAACAACACAAACCCCAAAAAACCTCTCACTCTCTCCTTACATGGATGGACTGGTACTGGCAAAAACTTTGTCAGTAAAATAATAGCAGAGAGTATCTACGAAGGAGGCCTGAACAGCAACTATGTCCATCAGTTTGTGTCCACTTTGCATTTTCCCCATGCACATAGCATTAGCCAGTACAAGGTAAGAGTGCATTTGGAGCTCGATGTATTTTAAGTGTGATTGTGTGGGTTATCTCTTTTGTTAGATTATCAAGATTATGGGATCAGTAGTACTAACGAGTGAAGGCTTTTTATCTGAAACAGTAAAACACAATGTGTGCTGAGTCTGAAGTGCAAATGTGGAAACCCTAATGCAGGGGTCTCAATCTCCCAACCCACAGGCTAGCCCCAGCAGGAGCAATTGTGCAATGTGGCACAAGATTCCCAATGGGCCGGGTGGTGGTGGGGTCTGTGTATTACAGGCCCCCAAATACCCATGTTCCCTCCGATGGCACCCTGTCCCCTGAGGGTACGGCTTGGGGATCACTATGGGAACCTGATGCCGTGTGGTGGTAGTGGTCTCCTCAGATTTCCTGGGGCAGACAGGAGCATGACAGGGTGATGACAGGAAAGGGTAGGGTTTAAGGGCTGGTAACGGACAGCCCCCCTCCCTCAGCTTGCCAGGAATCTCAGGCCAGATTGCGCAATTGTTCCAGCCAGGGATGGTTCACAGGTTGGGAGTTTGAGACCTGCGCTCAAATGTCTAGGGACTGATTTTACCTGTACATTTTTAAAAAATTGTTTATGCAGCCTCTCATGTTACTGTTCAGAGGGAAAGGACATAGGAAGTCAGCATTGGACGTGGGTTCAGTTCTCTGCCCCAAATATCCCACCACAGGTTTTCCTGTGTATCTTTGGGCATGTGATTTAGTCTTTCCTTACCTCAGTTTCTCAACTGAAAAATGGGGCTAGGTGTACTTTGTCCCTCTCAGGGGTTTTTGTGAGCATGAATACATTAAAGAGTGAAATGCCAAGACATACCCGTGGCTACATTAATCAGGTACATATGTGAGTCAGCACAGTTTAGGGAAATCCCACTGCTTGTGTTCCTGAATTTGAATCCTGATTCTACCACTAGGTTGTGTGTCTGCAAAATGAGGATGAAACTTTTCTACATAATGAGTAGTATGCAGATTAGTGAACTTTGTACTGTGTTTTGAACTTAAACACAAAATGTATGCATATTGAAAACTTAAAAGAATGGAACGTTTTAGCTTTTAAAATGGAGAATTCTACTTTTTCTCTAGTTTATGTATTTCCCCTTGTAAAGGTTTCTATTATCCTGCCCCAAATGAGTCCTGAAAGCAGTGGTGAAAATGGATCTTTATGTTCTTTGGTCATGTAAAAAGAAAAACAGCATGTGAAATTCACTTAATGGACAGTGTGCAGTCTTTCCTACACTGCCTTTTCCATGTAAGGGACCAAATAATTGTGAGATTGGTAAAATGAGCTGAGTCACTGTTTTGTTTTATATCAACTGTCCTGTTCCTTTCCTTTCTCATTACTAATCTTAAACATAACTTTTAATACTGTAGTGGGTAAATACCCGAGCCATACAGGCATACCTCAACTTTACAATGTTTGACTTACAACAAATGGCACCTATGTTTCTGAATTGACACCACAATTCAATTTTATAATGCTTGGTCCTGCAAGGGAGTGGATTGTAGTTCTGAGTTATGATGTTTAGACTTATGACACAATTTTCAGGAATTGTCTGTGTCATAAATCTGAGGACTGCCTGTATAACGAAATATTTAAATAAGATTACCCCCTTCCTGAACAAGACTACACTTTTTAAACATTTAAAATCACCTGCAGTTAGATTACTTACCAGTGGTTAAAGCATAGGAATAGGAGTTATGATTCTGTGTTCTATACCTAGCTGTTCCAGTAATTTTTATGTGATTTTGGCTAAGTCACGTAATCACTCACTGAGTCAACTAATGAATGTTGGAAAATGTTTTGAGTTCTAAGGATGGAATATGCTACTTGACTGCAGATTATTAGCACCAAAGAAAATAATTTTCCCCACTGGCATTCACTTTATCTTGCGAGGTAGGTTGTTGCTTCATATCCATATTTATTCACTGGCTTGAAATATAGTCTTTTTCATGGATACCTGCAGAGAGATTCCGGTTGTTAAGGTTATTTTAACAAGCAGAATGCATTTCTGTTACTATGTTCCTTTTATCATTCTTTACAGCTGACCTTTTAACCAGATTTCAATCAAGAAATTCACACAATTTTAGGTGCACAATTGAAGTTACAGCTTTTGAATGAAAAGCAGCGATCTATACATTTCCCGTGTCTTCAAGGTGACACAGATGCAGTTGGAATATGCAATCTCCTTTATTTTTGTATAACATAGGACCAGTTGCAGTCCTGGATTCGAGGAAACGTGAGTGCCTGTGCCAGGTCAATCTTTATATTTGATGAAATGGATAAAATGCACGCAGGGCTCATTGATTCCATCAAACCGTTCTTGGACTATTACGAGCAGCTTGATGGGGTGTCCTATCGGAGAGCTATCTTCATCTTTCTCAGGTGAGGAGCATCGGTGAAATCCTTGCAATGCTGTAAACTGAATGCTCTGTGAAACCCATCCAGCTGAAATCCTTTCCCTCCATCACACAGCAATGCAGGGGCTGAAAAGATAACAGATGTGGCATTAGATTTCTGGAGAAGGGGAAGAAAAAGGGAAAACATGGAACTCAGAGACTTGGAAGCTTCATTGTCTGTGTCTGTCTTCAACAATAAGAATAGTGAGTAATTTTGATTGTTCCCATGGCTAAAAGTCCTTCTCTTTGAGTGGTTCAGCATCTTTCTGGTATTTGCCAACTGCCTCTTTGGAGAACATCTAAAGAAACAAATATTTGTTGTTATGGTCCCAGTGGTAATCATAGGTAGGATTGCCATAATATTCTACTCTTTACATAGTTTGACTCTTTAACAGACAACATGAAAAATTTAAGCAGGATTATTTTCAGGATCCATCTGTGGTAATGTGTCTGAGCAAGTACCATGTCCCTTCCTAAGAGTAGGTAGACTTCTTTGGCTCTTAATTGGAGGCTGCATGATAAATGTCACATCCTTCTCCTTCTTTGCCCTTCAGAATTGAAGGTGTAGATTGTCAGTTAATGTTCCTCCTAAATTATTATGCTGTAGCTGTGTAGTTACAAAGTTATTTTTAACAGTAGCTTAAAAATAAACCTTATAACAATGGACCCAAACTATTATAGCTCTCCAGCAGAGCAGTCTGCAGGATGACAAACTAAGAGATGCATTCGGTGACACTGGTATATTAAATGATGGATTTTGCATCTGTTGACTTGATTGTTCTTTTGAGCAGGCTTAGTGAGAGAGAGATGAACTGGTTTTACCATTGTGTCTACAGTCTCCACTATTCAAGAAAAACGTGCTGGTTCCATTCTAATCAGGATAGCTCTTTGATCCCCTGGCAGCTGCCCTGGGATGAGCAAAGTTTGGGCACCTTGGGATATCAGAGAGGCCACCATTCCAAAGCAGCCTAGAAACATTAAAACCTATCACCTTTTTTTCCTTCTTCTCTGGTTGGTGTCTCCTTCATTCAGCACTTCAGGAGGATTTGGATAAGAAACTATTTGGTCAGCACCTTGTGAAGAAGGTGATTGTGAAAGCTGTGATTGGTTTCTTGAACAACACAAACCCCAAAAAACCTCTCACTCTCTCCTTACATGGATGGACTGGTACTGGCAAAAACTTTGTCAGTAAAATAATAGCAGAGAGTATCTACGAAGGAGGCCTGAACAGCAACTATGTCCATCAGTTTGTGTCCACTTTGCATTTTCCCCATGCACATAGCATTAGCCAGTACAAGGTAAGAGTGCATTTGGAGCTCGATGTATTTTAAGTGTGATTGTGTGGGTTATCTCTTTTGTTAGATTATCAAGATTATGGGATCAGTAGTACTAACGAGTGAAGGCTTTTTATCTGAAACAGTAAAACACAATGTGTGCTGAGTCTGAAGTGCAAATGTGGAAACCCTAATGCAGGGATCTCAATCTCCCAACCCACAGGCTAGCCCCAGCAGGAGCAATTGTGCAATGTGGCACAAGATTCCCAATGGGCCGGGTGGTGGTGGGGTCTGTGTATTACAGGCCCCCAAATACCCATGTTCCCTCCGATGGCACCCTGTCCCCTGAGGGTACGGCTTGGGGATCACTATGGGAACCTGATGCCGTGTGGTGGTAGTGGTCTCCTCAGATTTCCTGGGGCAGACAGGAGCATGACAGGGTGATGACAGGAAAGGGTAGGGTTTAAGGGCTGGTAACGGACAGCCCCCCTCCCTCAGCTTGCCAGGAATCTCAGGCCAGATTGCGCAATTGTTCCAGCCAGGGATGGTTCACAGGTTGGGAGTTTGAGACCTGCGCTCAAATGTCTAGGGACTGATTTTACCTGTACATTTTTAAAAAATTGTTTATGCAGCCTCTCATGTTACTGTTCAGAGGGAAAGGACATAGGAAGTCAGCATTGGACGTGGGTTCAGTTCTCTGCCCCAAATATCCCACCACAGGTTTTCCTGTGTATCTTTGGGCATGTGATTTAGTCTTTCCTTACCTCAGTTTCTCAACTGAAAAATGGGGCTAGGTGTACTTTGTCCCTCTCAGGGGTTTTTGTGAGCATGAATACATTAAAGAGTGAAATGCCAAGACATACCCGTGGCTACATTAATCAGGTACATATGTTAGTCAGCACAGTTTAGGGAAATCCCACTGCTTGTGTTCCTGAATTTGAATCCTGATTCTGCCACTAGGTTGTGTGAAAGAGTCTATTCTGCATTGTGTTCCTGAATTTGAATCCTGATTCTACCACTAGGTTGTGTGTCTGCAAAATGAGGATGAAACTTTTCTACATAATGAGTAGTATGCAGATTAGTGAACTTTGTACTGTGTTTTGAACTTAAACACAAAATGTATGCATATTGAAAACTTAAAAGAATGGAACGTTTTAGCTTTTAAAATGGAGAATTCTACTTTTTCTCTAGTTTATGTATTTCCCCTTGTAAAGGTTTCTATTATCCTGCCCCAAATGAGTCCTGAAAGCAGTGGTGAAAATGGATCTTTATGTTCTTTGGTCATGTAAAAAGAAAAACAGCATGTGAAATTCACTTAATGGACAGTGTGCAGTCTTTCCTACACTGCCTTTTCCATGTAAGGGACCAAATAATTGTGAGATTGGTAAAATGAGCTGAGTCACTGTTTTGTTTTATATCAACTGTCCTGTTCCTTTCCTTTCTCATTACTAATCTTAAACATAACTTTTAATACTGTAGTGGGTAAATACCCGAGCCATACAGGCATACCTCAACTTTACAATGTTTGACTTACAACAAATGGCACCTATGTTTCTGAATTGACACCACAATTCAATTTTATAATGCTTGGTCCTGCAAGGGAGTGGATTGTAGTTCTGAGTTATGATGTTTAGACTTATGACACAATTTTCAGGAATTGTCTGTGTCATAAATCTGAGGACTGCCTGTATAATGAAATATTTAAATAAGATTACCCCCTTCCTGAACAAGACTACACTTTTTAAACATTTAAAATCACCTGCAGTTAGATTACTTACCAGTGGTTAAAGCATAGGAATAGGAGTTATGATTCTGTGTTCTATACCTAGCTGTTCCAGTAATTTTTATGTGATTTTGGCTAAGTCACGTAATCACTCACTGAGTCAACTAATGAATGTTGGAAAATGTTTTGAGTTCTAAGGATGGAATATGCTACTTGACTGCAGATTATTAGCACCAAAGAAAATAATTTTCCCCACTGGCATTCACTTTATCTTGCGAGGTAGGTTGTTGCTTCATATCCATATTTATTCACTGGCTTGAAATATAGTCTTTTTCATGGATACCTGCAGAGAGATTCCGGTTGTTAAGGTTATTTTAACAACCAGAATGCATTTCTGTTACTATGTTCCTTTTATCATTCTTTACAGCTGACCTTTTAACCAGTTTTCAATCAAGAAATTCACACAATTTTAGGTGCACAATTGAAGTTACAGCTTTTGAATGAAAAGCAGCGATCTATACATTTCCCGTGTCTTCAAGGTGACACAGATGCAGTTGGAATATGCAATCTCCTTTATTTTTGTATAACATAGGACCAGTTGCAGTCCTGGATTCGAGGAAACGTGAGTGCCTGTGCCAGGTCAATCTTTATATTTGATGAAATGGATAAAATGCACGCAGGGCTCATTGATTCCATCAAACCGTTCTTGGACTATTACGAGCAGCTTGATGGGGTGTCCTATCGGAGAGCTATCTTCATCTTTCTCAGGTGAGGAGCATCGGTGAAATCCTTGCAATGCTGTAAACTGAATGCTCTGTGAAACCCATCCAGCTGAAATCCTTTCCCTCCATCACACAGCAATGCAGGGGCTGAAAAGATAACAGATGTGGCATTAGATTTCTGGAGAAGGGGAAGAAAAAGGGAAAACATGGAACTCAGAGACTTGGAAGCTTCATTGTCTGTGTCTGTCTTCAACAATAAGAATAGTGAGTAATTTTGATTGTTCCCATGGCTAAAAGTCCTTCTCTTTGAGTGGTTCAGCATCTTTCTGGTATTTGCCAACTGCCTCTTTGGAGAACATCTAAAGAAACAAATATTTGTTGTTATGGTCCCAGTGGTAATCATAGGTAGGATTGCCATAATATTCTACTCTTTACATAGTTTGACTCTTTAACAGACAACATGAAAAATTTAAGCAGGATTATTTTCAGGATCCATCTGTGGTAATGTGTCTGAGCAAGTACCATGTCCCTTCCTAAGAGTAGGTAGACTTCTTTGGCTCTTAATTGGAGGCTGCATGATAAATGTCACATCCTTCTCCTTCCTTGCCCTTCAGAATTGAAGGTGTAGATTGTCAGTTAATGTTCCTCCTAAATTATTATGCTGTAGCTGTGTAGTTACAAAGTTATTTTTAACAGTAGCTTAAAAATAAACCTTATAACAATGGACCCAAACTATTATAGCTCTCCAGCAGAGCAGTCTGCAGGATGACAAACTAAGAGATGCATTCGGTGACACTGGTATATTAAATGATGGATTTTGCATCTGTTGACTTGATTGTTCTTTTGAGCAGGCTTAGTGAGAGAGAGATGAACTGCTTTTACCATTGTGAAAGTGCACACAGGTTTATTTACAAAGAGACAGAGAAGTAAACAGAAATGGCAGGGCTGGCGTTGATGGTGAACAGGTATGGCAGCAGCAGTTCAGTGCAAACCCCAGTTTTCAGGCAGGGAGATACTATGGTATAGTAATGAAATATTCCGACTGATGCTGTTTGGTTGCTGATTTGAGGTGGAGAGTAATGGTGAAGGACATGAGACTGCACTGTAATTTATTAATATTGTATGTGACCTGGTTCTTGAGACATTTGCTGTGTTTACAGTATAGTATGGATAAGTAGATGGTTTAAAAAAAATCAAAACCAGACTTTGTTCCAATTAAAAAAAAAAAAAAGAAACCTATTTAAAATTAAATTTGTGTTTGTGACAACCTATTATAAGGCCTGAACTTGTAATCTGTTCATTTAAATTCAATAAAAAATGTGAAAGAGGACATGTTCGCTGTAAAATTTTAAAGAACATTTAAATTCAATAAAAAATGTGAAAGAGTACAAGTTCGCTGTAAAATTTTATAGAAAGTCAAATCCCTGTACTGGTAAAAGTCACTGGCCAAACCAGAGTTTGAGTGCTAAATCAGCTTTTGACAGCAGTAAACTCCTCAGCAGATGCAGAGAGAATATTTTCTTTTTCATTTTATTTGACTAAGTTGGTTCAATGACTTAATTCATTTAAATATAAGAAACAGGAACATTTATTTTCCTCTTCCAGTTTGAGAGGATGAGACCTACTTGGTCTAAAATCCTGAAGGAGATGTGACATGAAATAAGCAGTTAAAAGAAATGCTGTCTGTGGTTAAAGAATTTAAGAGATCAGTTTTAAATGCAAACATTGATAAACTTTTTGACACATTACTAAGTCTTTTATCATTCACCATTTTTGACACAGTAAAATATAAATTAAGTGATATAATTGCTTAAATGTATAGAAGTTATAGCACTTTCTCTTAATTAGCTTCCCACCACTCAAAACCACCATATTTAATGTCAAGGCTGTACGTAAAGGTTTTAATGCAAAACTCCATTAAAATTGATTATTTAAATCAAGATTTCATGCTTGCTGCTTTACATTCTGATTAAAATTTGGTTTTTAAATTCCTTTGATTTAAATCTACTCGGCTGTATTGGGTTAAATTTTGGAATACTTATTATATCCTTTTTTATTTAATTTAACAGCAGGCTATTGAGAAATAAAAACATGCCCTCCTAAAAACTTGAAGAGGGCTAAGAGGAAAATACCTGAGATATTAATTGTGAAGAACCTGCTTCCTTGGTTCCACACAGATTACAGAGTTTGTTTTGCCCAGCCTGGGAATCAAATTGACAAGTTAGAAGACTCTCTGGTCAGGCAGTTGTTTGGGAGCTGATTGTGGGGAACAGACTGAAACACTCATAAACCCTGCTGGAAGGTCTGAAGCAGTAATGCCTTCCTAAGCTTCCAAGACAGGGGGATGGTAAGATAAGCATGTGCGTAGCCTTTTGTTACTTTAAAATCCTCTGTTATGTTATGCTTTTTACTCCTACTGGCAAGATCAAGCAATGCTTTTGTTTATGGTCACTGTATTTACTGCCTCTAATGGCCTCCCAAAGGGAAGAACTTCAGGTACTTAAACCCTATTAGACATGTTAGGGCTGATCCACCAGATACTGTAGCCAGGACCCAGTCTAAAAGTGGGAGAAGTGGAGGATTCTATCCCAGGACAGTTAAAGGTTTTTGGAGACTAACAGCTGAGGCACTGCACACACAAACTGGAGAGGAGGCAGAGGTACCACTAGATCTGTGGCCTTGACATACAGCAACAGGGCTGTGTGAGATGTTTTCTTGGTCCATCTTGCTTGGCTTAAGGTGAAGCCACTCTCCTACCATGGCAATGCGTGACCTTATAGAAATAGAGGTGATTGTGGTAAAAACAAAAACCAAGAGTAAACCACTGTAGGGTGGGTTGCAGGGAGTTGTGATAAATGTATGCCCATCCCCAGTAGCTGTCAATCTCCACCTAAGATGCACTAACCAACAATATTTGTTTGCAGGCGGCTTTTGGCACAGCAGCTTGATCGACAGAAACCTCATTGATTATTTTGTCCCCTTTTTGCCTTTGGAATACAAACACGTGAAAATGTGTATCAGGGTTGAACTTGAATCACGTGGCTACGTGGTGGATGAAGAAATCATAACCAAAGTGGCTGATGAGATGACCTATTTCCCCAAGGACGAGAAAATTTACTCTGATAAAGGATGCAAAACTGTATTCACCAAGTTGGATTTTTATTATGACTTATAATGTTTTACAATGCTGTGATCTGCAAAGGAAAAAATGAACCACATCACACAATGAAGAAACCGAAATATTTCACTGTCAAGCACTTTTTTAAAAAAGGGAACATTATCGTTTAATTGGTGGTGTAAATAACTGGCAATACACTGGGGGAGCCTTGTAATAGTCGTATCTTCAAAAGATGTCTTTCCTGTTCCATGAAGTTAGGAAGGAACAGTGCATGGAGCAGTCACCTCTTCGAGAGCATTGTTGAACAGCGCCTATGATTATCTCAAATCACGACTTGGTTGATTGTTACAGTTTGTTCAGTGGAACACTCACATGTATATTAGACCTGCAGTTTTGATCTGGTTTTAATTAAATTTTAATTTGTAGAAATGGTTTCTAGATGGTACAGAATATTTTAATCAAGGCCTTTGTATCTTGCAACCCATTCCTAGGAGTTGTGGGTGAGGTATTTTCCAATTGTGTTTTGAAAAAAGGATATGCAGGGTGGGGTTTCCCCCCCTTAAAACAACCATCTTTAGTGCTTCCAGCTCTATTGGAACCATTGTGTGAGAGAGAGAGTCAATATGTCCTCTTACATAACATTATAAGGTGCCATTCTTATAAAAGCCAGGCTGTAAACAATCTCTTCTGCTGCCAAACTGCATTAGCCATGTGGACTCCATCTCTGATAGGAGTAGGTCAATATGTGAAACAAAGCTGAGCAAAAAAAGGAACTGCAGTTGTACTGCATTCCTGTAATGGCGTTAGTTCCTCCTTTGGCTGTTTGCTGTAAAGTGGAGAGTTGGCACGTGGCCTGCTTTCCTTTTCCTTCTTTGCTGTAATGAAGAATAAGGTTGTTCACTAAATCCAGGGATGGTTCTTGGTTGGAGTGTCCATTTCGTAGAATCAGAGTAAGGCGAAGGCAGAACCTGGTACGTCCATGGGCTGGTTGTAAGATTTTCTTTTGTTGCAAATATTTCTAAATGCAGAAAATAGCAGCTTGGGTAACTTTTCACCCACTGTCAAACGGTGAGATTTCATTTTGATCCTAGCCTTAAAAACACTGCTGTGTGAAAAGAGATGAAGACAGCTTCAAAACTACCTGGAAAAATATTTAATTACAGTAATCCATCAACTAAAGTTATTACACCCCATCTGCCAGTTTTATTTATAAATGCCAGCACTGTACCTTTTCACTCCCGTTTCTAGCTCTTACAATTTGAAAGTAAGATTTTTATAATTCCCTCAATAAAAGATCTCACCAGTAAAATTTGTATATGCTACCTCTTGCTTTGCATTATTGAAGGGACTGCCTCATTGTTACTTTTGTATGTACATTTACCATCTTACCACACTTCTGCCTATGGGTAGTCTGCTGTGCTTGAATACAAACGTTCATGTTCACCTTTTGCAATTAGGATACAAAAGGGTGTGGCAGTGGAGGGGAGATGTGGGTCTTCATCTGTTGCTGAAAAAGATTAGCTGAATTATGGTTTGCAGTGTGACTCAATGAGTAGTTAGTACAGACTAGGGATGTAATAGTATACTTGATTAATTGATAAACAAAAGCTCAGTGTGACTCAATGAGTAGTTAGTACAGACTAGGGATATAATAGTATAATTGATTAATCGATAAACAAAAGCTTATAAGTTAATACTATAGACTACATGCATTTCTCCCCCTCCCCCTGCAGTACATTTTTTTTAGCAGGCTGGACAGCAGCATGGCTCAGTCCCAGCTTGCACCAGTCCAGGGCCTACCCCTGCTGCAGTTCTGCATTTAAAGTGTATAGGAGCCAGGCAACCTGGCTCAGTTCCAGCCCACAAAGGGTCTGGAAGCTCCAGACACCACCCTCTTCTCCAGCAGGGGCTGCTGCCCCCTTGTACTCCTGCCTCTGTATCTGAGGCAACAGCATGGGGCGACAGGCAGCTGGTCTGCAAGAGGAGCTGGTTTTTAAACTGGCTTTCTTCATGGACTAGCTCCTGCCTGGCAGGGGGCTCCTCAAGAGTGGGGCTAGATTGCACTGGGTCCCAGCCACACCCCAGGAGACTACAGAATAGTCGAGTAACTGATAAGAATTCATGAGGTTAATCAACTGTTCATTTAACCAGTATTTGACATCCCTAGTGCAGACTGCTTAAGAGTGTGCATTAACTTTCTAAAGTTGTGCTAGTGCAAATCAGGCTCTTGGCTCCTTGTAACAGGAACAGTCTTCCACATTCTGTAGTCTCGACAGTATTCTAAAAGTGCTTAAAAACAGACAATTTGTCCTGTAAGTGGAGTAGATGAAACCCCTTACTTTGTTTACCCATGTCTTGCTGTCACAGATGTGACTGACTAGTTACAGTAAGTGATGGTATCTTTGGCTATGCTCCAGTTTGCTACCATGCAGACTCAGGGGCTATGTCTACACTGGTGGCTTCTTGTACAAGAAAACATCCACACTGCCATGGCAGTGTGGACGCTCTCTTGCACAAGAAAACGCTGATGGCCATTTTAGCCCTAGGGCTTTCTTGCGCAAGAAATCCCTGCCCGGTGTCCACACTGCCCTCTTGTGCAAGAGCTCCTGCGCAAGAGGGCTTACACTTGTTAAAAAAGAGCGTAGCTCTTGTGCAAGTAGCCCTCTCATACCATGCTGTAAATTTCTTTGCGCAAGAGCGGGTGGGCAGTGTGGATGCTCTGCAGATTCTTGTGCAAGAACGGCCATACTTGTGCAAGAAGCCACGAGTGTAGACTTAGCCAGGGAGTGAAGGGCAACTGGCCCTGGGACTGCAGTGGACACTACCTAGTTTGCATTAATGTAATCCTCTTCAAACAGTACTGTTTATGCAAAGCAGGTACCTTTTAGTTCATTCTAGCAGTGGCCATGTGGGACAGTTGAAATGCAGCACTTTGGTGTGCACTGCTCTTTGCACCTCTACAAAAAAATGGAGCAGCAGGACTCTAGTCTTCCTTGTTATATTTGGACAATGTAATTGACTTTAAACCGGTAAGCTCAGAGATTCCCTTTAACCTTCATTTCAAACTCAGCAGGAGCCTGAGTTTAAGACTTGCAGTGCAGAGCAGCTGGAATAAGTGTGTAGTGCTCCAGTCATTATTTGCTGGCTTCTCTAAAGTACATGAATTATGAGGATTATATTCTACGAGCTTTATAGTGACATTATGCAACTTGTGGGGGGGGGGGGGGAGAAAACAGGAAACTTTGATTGTCCCTGGTGGCTTGAAGAAATACTGCTCTTGTTTATATTAGTCTCCTGAACCTCCCAAGTTCAACAGTGGATCAGAGCATAAAGTAACTCTGCCAAGTAACACTTTGCACTCCATCCATTAGTGAATGCAAAGCACTTATTACAATTAGATTCCTACCCTGTGAGTGCTGGAGGGGGGAGAAGGAAAGCATTAGCCCTGTATTGCCTATGGCACTAATTTCCAGATTTCCCACAAATGATTGGATGTTTCTACTAGTCTGGTATTTTAACCACCTTGCTGGCTAGCTGCTGTGGTGTTTAAATTCCAGCAGCTGAACTCCAGGGGCACTACCTGTACTCACCCTGTAAGTAGTGTTCCCTATAAGCAGCTCAATTGTGTGGCCGCTCAGATGAGATTCCACTGCTGCTCAGCTGATTAGTTGAGCGCCCTCAGCTAGGTTTGTGTTTCTCCTGCTGGTGGTGCACATTCACACATGCCATAATGCACATAAACATTCTGTACATGGATGGAAAAGATTAGAGGGAAAAACTGCTTGTTGGAAAAAGGGCTGAGACACAAGAGATCAAGTGACCTGGTCAGGTCAGAGTGGTGCTAAAGGGATGTGGCAAGTTACATTTCTACCACTGGTATCAGAAAAAAATTGTAAGAATGCTTAAGAGTTGCCATAAGAAGACAATGGAAAAAAATTGTAAGAATGCTTAAGAGTTGCCATAAGAAGAGTAAATTTTCAGCCACTCTTTTGCAGTGGAGCCAGAGATAAAAATGCAACCCTCTTGGTTAAACCTCCACCCCAGGTCCATCACCGGAAAAAGACTTCTCTCCTGAAAGGCATCTTTAGAAGCTTTATTGATATGAAGTATGGCATGCTGCTGTATTAATAAAAAGCTACAGGGAAATCTCTCTTATCCTTATTTATAATGATACTTTATTTACCTTGGGAAGGAGCAGGCAAGTCAGTTATTAAGATGGCCTGATTTAATCAGAATAAAGCTGAGTGGAAGGCACATCATACCCCAGCATGAATGCCTAGGAACAAAGCAGTAGCAAGCTATTATCTACCAGCTGGCAGTTAAATAAGTCAAAGGCAGTTGAAGGATGAAAAACATTTATTGCAGCTATGACAGGTTTTAAAACTGCATGGGAAGCTTACATTCAGAACATCCAAGTTAGAAGAGCAATCATACACTTGTGAGTGCAACATTTGAGATCCTTTGAGTAAGAGTTCGCCATAAAGGCAAAACATCACATCAAAACAACAGTCCAATGTCCCAAGGTTGACGGTTAGTTTTCACTTCAAGGGATTGCATCAGAGCAAACAGTTTGTCACGGTTATGACAGACTGCACACAGGGTTATAAAAAAATTGTAACAGATTCCTTCAATTTCACAGGTTAACATGAACATCTAAAGCTTTCTTGCTGGTAGTTTGAACAAAAACTGGCTTGATTTGAGACACCATCTTAAAAAGTATCAATATATAAGAGGGAGTTAATTCAGCAACTACATTATAAAATAATCAATTTCCTCCCATGCATATTAGCTCCACTACATACTAGCTATCTTGTCCTCCATTTATAAAGGCACTTCCATTTCACATCACGTCTGGCTGAGTGCAAGGGAGAGGAAGAGTTAGGAAGTTGAGTCTTTGGTGTGTAAGATGTGATACTAAAATTCCACCCTTACTAGATGGATGAAAGTTAATCCTCTTCCAGCTTCCTAATCCTGCTGGTTCTCATTTCACCTTGCTGCTGGGAACAAGGTGTTTCACCCTGACCATCGCAGACACAGGTTTTCATTAATTTTACAATGTTAGTTAAAAAAATATTAAAAATACAATAGGAATGGGGGAAGGTAACTCTTTGACCATATTTCCCATCCTCCATAGTGCTGAAGAGAAAGATTTTATACTTCCATTGTAACTAGTATAAAATAGTATAAAAATAGACTTCAAAATCATTTCTACAACAAGGCAATATTCAAGCAAAGTGTATGTCTAGGGAAGGGTAGGGGGTGTTGCCCAGAGCTGGATTAGACATTCCCTCCAAGCCACAGCTGTATAACACCTTGTCGATACTGACCTGACAAGTTGTAACAGTCAAATCCTCATGAACCTTTCCCCACTGAAAGACAAGACACTTGCCTAAGGCGCTGTAACAATCAAACTGCTGGTGCACAGTTTCCCCCATTGAAAGGGACATTGGCAGCAAAGCTTACAGCCACTTGGACTCCCTTGGATTCAAAAATTTCATTGGAAGGGAAAGTATGGAGAGTCTTCTCAATAGGGACTGGGGGGGGAGCAACTAATTTATCCCGTACCCCCGCTCTCCTTGAGTTCACCATAATGTTCCACAGGGAAGCATGAAGATAGCTTAGAGTCAAATGAACCAAGATCCTGCCCTTCCATCCCTAGAAAGCTGACACTCTGAGCACAACACTACCAACTCTCTCCAGAGTCTTTCCAGCACAGTGGCATTTGAACTAGCAAAGTATCAAGGGCTCACCCTTGCTGTCTCATAGATGCTGGACACGCCATCTGAAGTCAGGGCCAAAACTCCCATTCATTTCAATGGGAATAGGACTGGTCCTTTCATATGCTAGGAAGGGATTGTGGACAAATGGAAGGGTTCCTTCCTTTTACTCCCATCCTCTAGCTGAGAGGGTAGAGAGGATGGAATTTTTAACAGTCTCAGCTGTTAAATACAATGCAGTGAAGGCTGCATCCAATGCTGAGTGTTATGCTCAAAGATTTCCAGAGACTAACCCCAGATTAGAAAATGCAACACGTAGTTACAGATAGCTTAAGGAAGAGCAGTGAGATTTACAAAAAAGAAAATAAAATCAGTCATTCCGAAGATCCCTGCCACATGTCCCAAAATATTAAAAAGTGCAAAGACACAGACTTCCAAAATGCTATTAAAAGTGCTTCGGTGAGGTAAAAGCATCAAGTTCCTTGCTCCACCTCAGTTTCATGCAGCTCACAGCTATCTCTCCCAAGAGAAAAACAGCCTGTCCTGCACCATCTTGCAGCCTTTATCGGAGTAGATTTTCTCATCTTTTGGG